GTGTCGGGTAGATTATAGGTGAATAAAGCTAAGGCTTTGCCTTCTACGGATCATCTTCAAGTAATTCAGTTTAGCACTCTCAAGTTTTAGACTGAAGGTGTGTCCATGTCATCACTTAATTTTTCCATGCATTAATGTTCGGCAAGATCAATATATCAAGGACGTTACTCGATTTTGTTCAAACTATTGCCGTTAATGGTATGCGGTCAGAATAAAAAAAAAACTTTGAATATTATCTTAAACGGACCGTACTAATGAAAATATCAAACATTTTTTACTATAGAAATTGCTTGCTACCATGATTGTTTTGCGATATTTGCATGATTGTCGACGCCATTTTCAAATGAACGTTAATTAAAGTTAAATAATTGGGAAATTCTATCTCCAAAAAGGATCGTCCATGGCTGTAGGTAAGATGTACAACTATAATACGATCGACGGGATATTAGTTGAACATTCGTTAAGAAGAGTAATACATTTAAAAAACAAAAAACAAAAACATCGAAATAATAATAACGATATATTATAATGTACTCGAAAGCTTGGATCACATCCATAGAAAAATCTTCATACACAGCTGGTTGTTCGCCAAAAAACCTGAAAATTTCCCAAAAATGTCTACTTGATCTTTTGTAGTATCATTCACCGTAGCTCCCTAAACGATTTTAATTTTGTTCCCAATCCATTCGTTATATTTTATTTGATTGAAGAGCGAGAATTTCCATTTCATCATGTATGTATACACTGCATATTATACGTGCAGTGAGAATCCGATAGTGTTATCTTTACTTTCTCAAATCGTCCTCCTCCGTGACAAAATGCTCAATCAGGCTCGCGGAGAGGAGAGGGGGATAAATGTTTAATGGGAACCGCCCCGGACTCGACTCTCTTGCTAGAGCAATGTGATTATAGCCGAAATAAAGAATAATTGCAAAAATATAAAATTTCTTTTCTTTCATTTTCAAAAACGGTTTTTTTTTTTTGATGTTGATGAAATCAACCGAACTCTTCGAAAATGGAGAGTGACAAAAATGTAAAGTATCATAATCAAAAGGAAAAGTGAATTATTTCAAAAATGTGATTATGGTTGGCAGAGAAAAAAGGTATTTTATTATTCTAATGTATTTGATTTAAATAATAATTAAAATGCAAAACAGCGATAAAATGAAATATTAAAACGTCTTAAAATTACTTTTTTATCATCTTAGCCTTTGCCTTGAAGTTAAAAAAAAAAAAAAAATCTTAATAAACGGATTTCCAAGGTTTTGGATTTAAAACAATTTGACAAATTATACTAAAGATAAAATTTAGATGTGTACAATGAATACAGTCAAATTTTATTACTATTACTATTTTTTTTTAGAGCATGATTATTATAATTATTTTTTTAGAATAATAAAAGATGTCACTACTTACAAAAGATGGCATGACGAATAGCAGTGTAATTTTAGATTTAAATATGTAACTTCTAGCTATAATGACATTAATTATTGTCTGGCTTTTCACGCATTTTTCAAACTAAAATTAAACATTGTTCAAGTTATTTTTTTAAATGAAAATAGTTAGAAGTGAAACATATGTAATTTTAATGTTAGTTTACATAGTAAGTATACAAGTTAAAAAATATTATTTTGATTTTTATCTACGAAATGGATTATAAGTTTAAAAAAGTATTGAGTTAATTGAGTTCACAAGGGTAAATTTAATAAAATCCTCGTACTTCGTACTTTAAATAATATATATTTTATGTTATTAATATAATACACTTTGGTAAGGTTCAATTTAATGCTTTTATGCATATTTTGTATTTATCTTTTATATATATATATATGTATTAATTAACTTATATACAGTTTTGATATTTTAAATTGTAAAAGAACTGTTTAAAACCAAGAATTCTGTTGAAAATTATTTAAACACATGTGATTATTCGATTAACTATTATGAAAATCTTACGTCTTGCTATTGCTAATAATTTATTGCAAATGCAGTCTAATTTGATTAACTCAAACTTCTTAAACTCAAAATTGTTGATACTTCGAAGTTTTTTCCTGATCCCTAGAATTTCCTGTTTAAACAATGTGAAAAGTTCTTGTTCAACTCGAATATTTTCGCTAATAACTCGAAATTCCCAGTTCTATTATAATATAAAATTATGATAATTCTTTCGTGTACGCATGTATATTATATATGTATATACAGATGCATTATAATGAATTGAGTTGATTAGTTGAAAACTAACCAGAGGTCAGTGATAAACTTTTCGAAACTTTAAATAAAATAGAATGATTCATTGCAAATGCTACGATCAACAGTAAACTCAAACAAAAATAAATATCTTTTTTAAACAATTTTCTTTCCTAATTTTTGTTTGTACATACTTTTTTAAAATTATAATAAAATAGTATAAATAATATATAAATAGTGAATATTTTTCATCACATATTATAATAAATACATAGAAAATAAAATATTGTACGGTTTTAAAAAAATACATATTTTGAAATTTTATTTTGATAACTTGAATTGTTGTATAATTCGAACTTTTTTCCAGGCCCTTCAACTTCGAGTTAACTAAGTTCGGCTATAATCATATCTTTCCTATTGACTTTTCGTGGTAGACGTAAACGAAAAGCACGAAAACAGCCCGTGAAATGTTTTTTAGAAAAAAACTAGACTATCCATTGATAATCGTGTACACCGTGTATGTATATACATAGAAATGTAGTAGTAGATGGTAATATAGGGAAAAGGTTAGGTTATACGTCATGGTGATGTGTGTAAACGTTTGTGTGTGCGTCACGGCAAGCAAAGGATCGCGCACCGAGGGCAACTTTTGCGTACAACTTTTCGGTTGCACAGCGGCACAGCGGTGGGGTTTTGGCGATAAAATAAATTACAGGCGTCCATAAACAAAAGGCATTTTCCCCGTCATTGTTAAGGGCCTCTTATTTGTCATTTTATGGGTATTGCACGTCATAAAAAAAAATAAAAAATGAAAAAAAATAGGGACGGAATGAGAAGCTGACGAGCGGTGGTGGGAAGGGGACAAAAATACAAACTACCTACCCCATGATAAAAGGTGGTAGTGGTGGTGGTGGTAAAATTCAACGCTGTCCATGTCCGGGCAGAGTCCTGGCGTGCAGGGATGTTAGGGCCTTGCGATGGGGGTTTAAAGGAATTTTCCCCGTTGCCAAAACCGCGCGCGCGATTTATATTTATATTTTGCCAGCCGCATGTTTCCACGGAGGAAACCAACGGATTCCGTCGTTGCCAGCGGGATAGAATGTTTTTTAATCTCGAAACATACACACACACATACACATACGAAACTAGCTTCACCGATCGATAATATAACAACTACATAGACGCGTTCACCGCAAAACAGTCCCTCGGAGACGGTGCCAAACGCGTTTTCTCGGCCGAACGTGACGACAACAACGCACGGTCGTGGTTGTTCATGAAAGTCCTAACAAAAGGAACCAGTGGCAAGGCGGTAGGAAAGAAGGGATCAGGATCGACCGTCGACTCTGAAATTTTATCGTATACCCCCCCTCTCATTACTAAAAATCTCGTGTCTTGGACGTCACCGACGGCATCGTACTGCAGCCGTCAAAGTCAATGCTATGGCTACGACGTGACTCGGCCGACGGGACGGAGGATTTGCAAAGGATAATTTGACGAAGACACGAAAAACAATTATCTTCATCATTTTATTTATATTATACTGCGTCGACGGGACGTATTTAGCTTAAGATCGCATCGCTTTAATAATAATATTATTATATGCGTAATGCGTATATCGACAAACAGCTGCGCTATCAAATACATTTTTGGTACGGAGGACCAACTATGGTAAAAACATCGTGTAATCGAAGTGTGAAAACTGCGCCACATAATTGTTCAAGTTTGGTTTCAACTCGTCTTCGTGTTTTATTTCGGAGCTATTAAATGCGTACTCGCGCATTATGCAGAAGACGATGGTAAGATATAGCTGTTATTATAGTTATGGTTATATTCAATTTTATTTACTATTACTTTACGAGTTTTTACTGTAAGGCCAATGTTGTTGCTTACAGACTATTTTAATATAGAGCCATTAAGTTATAAAAAAACAAAAAATTAAAAATACATTTCAATTCTCATTGTTATTCGTGCACCATCGTGTAGCTTGTTCAATGTGGGATTTTTTATTTTAGTTGTGTAGTTACATTTTTATGAGTTATTACGTCGTATGCATATTCAAAAATGGAAATATTTGTGTGGAAATATACACTGGTACCATAACACAACCATACATATATGTATGGTTTTAAGGAACACGAAAAATCATTTATTTCGTGAAACAAACATTTGAACTAACTTTAATGAGCGGTTAAAAATAAAATAAAAAAAATATGTAGGTGTATACCACTTATAGCCATATTTATCATGTACTTTGGGTACATTTAAGTACAAGTAAAGTAGTATTTTAGGAGAAGCTTAAGTCATACTTTATATAATTACTCGCAAAGGCTTTGCCCCCACATACACCCAAATACAATGTTATCTACAATACGTGATAACTATTAAATCATTAATTAAAAAACTAATAAATATGTACTACGTCCACATAATATGCACTTTGAAAATTAATGGTTTATAATCAATTTAATTAAACATTTTTAAAAAATAAATAAATAGTAGAAAAATAAATATTTTATTGTTTTGATACAATAAACCTATTATTATTTGCAAATTGATCAATAACTAATTATTGGAAATTTTTATTTTTGTCATCGCGATAATAATTCAGTGTGATGGCAAAGGTAGTCCGGTGTGGGTTGGTGAAAATCGTGACACGGCGGAATAAGTATTCTATACTTCTAAAAAATGTTCAGTCATTTTGGAGGGGCTTTTAGTGTTTTTTGGAAAGCTAAGCACTCCCATGTACCCCCCAATATCCGCATTTATCGCTAATGCTACTTGGTGAATATAGTTATATAGGATTTTCGACTTACCTGTCGAGTGGAGTGGTGTGGTGGCCAGCAGCAGGTCGATGGTGCCGTCGGTGAGTACCTCCGACGAGTCTTGGTAACTGATTGACAGTGTGGCCGTGTCCGTTTGGCGGGACATCTTGGACAGCATGGACGCGGGCAATTCAATGGTCTCGTCCGTCTCCCGGAGTTGCAGAGTGACTGTCTGGCCGTCCGGACCTGCGGTGCTATACATAAACACGGCTGTTTGTTGTGGTATGGCAGACGCATAGCTGCTCTTCAATGGTACCCGGATTCCAGGCAAACCCTGAAAAAACAAGAAAAAAACTCCTATTGTTACGTGTAATATAATCGCAAACATAATATAAGGTATAACCGGGTAGGCAAGCAAGTTATGTCCATGATTGAGCGAGAAAAGGAGAGAGGAGTAAAGCTTTATACTGAAGCTCTTATTACACGTGTCACGTGAAATATGTGTTCATCCAAAATATGTATCCGTTTTTGAAATGATAAAATTAGCAATTTTGGGTTAAAGTATTTAAAGTTTCAATAAAATATTATTTGTAAAAAATTAAGATAAGGTTATATGTTTTTAATTTGGATAAACACGTATTTCACGTGTAATTGGAGCTCTAGTTTATACATAGAATATTATACGGCACATATCATTGATATAAATTCTGAGTAAAAAAAGTTTTTAATTTTTAATTGATTTTTTCTTTCTCTTTGTGAAGATTTATTTTAACCTATCAACTATCAATTAATATACTTATTTATTTTTTAATATTATTTATTTTCGTACATTTACTCTAGATTTCTTTATTTTATAAATAATTAGTCATTTATACTATATTCAATACTGCAATAGTCCTTGTTGAATTCTAAATAAATAAATATATATAATTTGAGCGATCCCTTCAAATCGAGATGAGTCAGTATTTGAATTATTTACTATCGGTTTGTATTAATATGCGTTTATACGTAATATCTGTTATAAATGTTGCTTTTCTTCTACATAATGTATACGTGGTCCTTTCTTCCCGCGCCCTCCATAATATGGTGATTAACGTATCTGATGCAAGAAAGGATTAATAATATGATAATATATTAATTTATAAACTATTTGTACACATAAACAAAATGTCCCACGAGAATTATGGTAGTTTTAAGAGGTCCTACCAAGTAAAATCAATAAGCCCTTATGGGACACCCTGCGTATATGTATACACCAAGTTTGATGATACACTATAGACTTCGCATCGATTCCGTACCTCATTATTGATTTCCCACACGAAAATATCGTTAAACGCCTTACGAACGAAACGACTTAATGGCCGATCAGTTGTAAAGTATAAATAGTCCACGGATGAAACGATTTGATTGTCAATAAATGGGTTAACATAGTCGGTGGTACCTATAAAAGTTAGGCTTGGACAAAGTAAAAATCAAGGGGGGGTAGATAAGGCTCAATTTAATGGTTTTTATTTTCTTAAAATTTCACTCGGACCAGTTTTGATGACAAAAGGGCACACACGGATCGATTCATTGACACAACACGTTGGAAAAGATAATAACCTAACCTAACTATGGTATACACGGGAATTTGTTGGTTGTCGTTGAGTTTGACATTAAATTAGTCCTGGACTCTTGGATACCATATTTACAATTTATAAACATTTACTATAATCCTACGTATGACCGATAATTATATGAATATCGTCGAGAGACGTATAAAGCTCGGTTGTGGAATGAATAACCGTGATGACGTCGCTAGCAATAGTGTCACTATGTAAATTATTACAATTGTGATTGAAGGCATAATACATGCGCGTTGCAATAACATGAAAATATCATAGGTACACTCCGTGAATGTTTAAGGTCGCTGCGATGCCGTACGAATCGTTTCGGTGGCACATCAATTTACATGGATGTCAATCGTATGCGTGTTGCTGCCTTCCTAATTACCATAGGGTTAGAGTTATAATCTTCATAAGGATTTTGCATTTCCTTTATAATTTTAACGATTTACAGCTTATTGCTCTTTTCGAGCACACCATTTGATTTTATCATTAACGGGTTCAAATATTTTGATTTCTTTTGCAATTATCGATTTAGAGGGAATTTTTTACACTGGTTATACATCTGTAATAGGAAAAATATCGTACTTAGTTAATTTTTATGAAGATTGTCCATACCACGAAATATCATTAAATGGAGAAGATAACTTCAACATTTCAAGTTCACTGCAAATCGAATTGTTAATTTTTTTTATTCTTCATATATTTCATAATTTATACAGCAATAATCTTTATTTTTGGTTATTTTTTTGTCTCCAGACTATTTGTTCTGGTGATTTTTAAATTATTTAGAGATAGTTTTTATTAGGTTTTCTAAGTCAATACAATTTTAGTCATAGTAGTCACCGATATACGAATGCATATATTATGCAAAGAAATAGTGTTGTCCATGTAATATTATGTGTAATACATAATAATACCGTTATTCCAATACACACGCACAAAGAACTTGTGTGTTATATTACAAATGAATGTATATGTGTAATGTACGTACGTGAGGTCGTAATAAAGTGTGGCCTCACGCAAATCATTGCGTTCGATCCGATAACGAAACCCTCCGTATACATGCGCGGACGATCTGAAACGTGGGTAGTTTTTTATTTTATTCTTCATCCTCTTGCAGCAGGTTTTTCATCTCCTCATCGAAACGACTCTATCGGCGGCGAATTAAACCCCCGAAACGGTTCATTTTCTCTCCTCTATGTCATCCTTCGACGGTAGCGGCGCCTCTCCTCTCGTCTCCGGGACACTATCGCCGCGCGTCGGATAATCGAATTCAGCACGCCAACTTCATCCGCCGCGGCGGTAGATAAGAAGCTCAACGGTTACGTGCTTAATTTGGGTTTGGAAACTTAATAGTTTCCTCCGGCGAAGTTTTCTCTCGGAAATTACAAGGATTTAATGCCCCGGCCGAGGGAACGGACGCAGGTGAACGATGATTTATACCGTAACCATGGTTACCTCACAACGACGGTCAGAATACCGTCTGACACCACAACATACATACGATATATATATACATATACATATTACATGTTTAATACGCGTTCATAATATAATGTACGGCATTTATACCTAAACGCGTAAAACAACACCGCCATCGCCACCACGCGAGTGAGAATCAACTTTGCATGAATCAGTGTTTCGGCCACGTGAGGTTTTAGAGAAGAATTCACTCTAGCCGCCTCCACCCCGCAAATATAATAATAGTATATAATATATTACATCCGTTGTGCCACCAGAGTCATTATACTCACATACTGTAACCGTAGCACGATTTCATTTCGGGTACCCATATAGATTTATGGGGTAAGTCGGAAATGGAATTTTTCCACTAGCCACGTGCGGTCCTCTTCCCCGTGTTCATCGCCACTGTTCTTGGTAGGTAAATGTTTATAAAGATTAAAAATATCATCATTCGCTCTTGAACACGTCGCTATGGGAAGAGGGCCTGTGTTTTCGTTCGATTTTTCTCAGATGAAATATATATATAGGACCATGAAACGAACTCGATCTGAAACTTTTAGCGATATATCCATCCTACATTACAACATTACGATACGTCATTGTTATAGCCGAACACGCGGTGTCATCGTGAGCCACGCGATTGTCGATCAATGTATTTCATCTATGACCCATTATCCAACAAGTGTCCATTCGGTCATCATTCGTGTACACTGGCTAATATCTTTAACGAGGCAATATTTCAATCGACACCTATGATGTACTTGATCGAAACCTTACGAACCATTGGACGGTCAGTACTTGCAGATCATATAACGCTCATAAGGGGTGTATCCAGAATACCACCTGGGATCAGGTACTTACCTGGTTAGAGGGTTACTAATCCTTATGTTTTGGACTTGAATACAATCAGAATTTTATAAACAGTAAATAAAAATAAATTCAGACTATTCGGTGGGTTGGGCTGCTTGAACTCTCTCGAAACCATCCACCCCCTTATCCAGGGAACTCTCCAAAAGTATAATGCACGCGTACACGTAATAACTGCGCCATTTCATATACAATTTTCGACTTTGTACCAGCCCTGTTTTCCCCTAGATCAGTGGTTCCCAAAATTTGTTGGATCACGCATTCCTAAAACGAAAAAATGTAATCGTGCCTCTCATGAACAAATATAATATAATTTTTTAATATTTAAATAGAAATTAATTATGGTCAATCTAAAAATAAAAAATATGCTAGTGCACAATATAAATATTTGCCTTGCGCTTCCCACAGGAGGTGCGTCTCACAGATTAGTAACCGCTGCTCTGGACACTGCAACATGGTGTATACGGAAAAAGTACACTGTCGGCTATCAGGGACGGGAAATATTTAATTTTAAATTCTATTTATTTTAATTAATATTCAATATTTTAATATTAAGTTGATTAAGCTGAAGAGAGGAAGAAAATGAATAAATAATAAGTATAATTAATAATAATAAGTTATTAATATTATAGTTATAATTATTAACAAGGTTATAAAATTATATTTGAGGAGTATTGAGGCAAAGCGTGGGTGAGTTGTATTTTTCCATTCAATATGCAACTGCTATTTATTTTTGAGTGTACATCACTGACTCGTCGTGTTCAAATGGGGGAAGTACGTTTGGGTGCATTTACCCAAAATAGAATACTTTAGGGCATAAATCTGTAAAGCGTTTGGGAGTAATATTTCCCTTTATAATAGTACGTTTGGGCGTATTCATTTCTTTGCATATATAAACATTTTGTACTAAATCTGAACCTATTATCGTTACCTAGAAGATACCGCGAAGAGGTTGGCTCAATAGTCTCCCAAAAATATTTTGAGATTTTTTTTATTTATATGTCTTAATTTAATCTAATTAAATTTAAGTTTCTCAAAATTGTTGTACAAATGTTTGTTTTACTTCAGTTTCTTTTTTTTTTAATTTAATAGTTTTTTTTTTCAATGCTGTTTATTTTTCAATTGGTTTCCGTTTGAATTTCAATCAATACGTTTATAAAATATTGATGATTTGGATGTTGCTTATAAAATTGTTGGTTATAATTTGAATGAAAATATTCCGGTTCATTAGTTGTTTTTGAGTATGTTTTTGGTTCTTCAACCCAAATAATTTGTGGAAATTGTGAATCTTCAGATAAATAATTTTCAATTATATCAATTAATCAGTAAATTCTGTCACATCAGGTTGCGCTATAGACATAAGCTCAACAAAACCAAAATTAACCTCATTAGACAG